AATAGACCGGCCTACATAGTTTTGATGCGGCATGTAAAATTATGTTTCTAATACTTAGCGCAATCATGTGAGTTGAGTTTGCACAAAAGACTATGGTTTGGTGCTAAAAGGCTTTTAGCAATCGTTTCAGAAGTTAAGCAAACAAACATATATTTAGCACCCGTTTGATATTGTAATATATAAACACCAAAGTATTTCACTGACACTAAGTATTACATTTACTTCCATACAACATGTAATATTCAAGACGTTGTTAAGTGGTGAGCTAATTATAAAGTATGAAGTCTGTTTAACAGTTTTTTAAAGCTAGTGTTTGCTTTGGTGGAACACATATGATTGTTACAAGACTTTTTGCCTTAGGTACAAGAATGCAACAAAAGGAAAACATATTCAAATAGGAAACGCTTATTCATTTAATTACACAAGTCCCATCAAATTGCATTATATATTACACATGAAGATTATGGGAGCTTTGTTTCCTAATACCAATTCTCATATCTTCTTCAAACTACTTGTAGATCTCGCAGGTCAGGTTGCACCAAGAGGTTTTCACGAGAAGGCAGAGGTGTAGTAGCTAGACGCCCTATCTGAGGCACCGCTTTGGAGGTGCCTGTCTCGAAGAAGGCTGAATGGAGAGCCTTCACGCAATGCTCTGCCTCATCATCATTCACTATCAGCGAGATGTTTACCTGATCTCACCACCAAAACAAACACATTAAAGAAAAGTCAGACAAGTGTGCACTTCACCCCCATAAAGCAACCTTATTATTATTGTCTTTTAATAGAAATTATAATCAAACATGTAGAGAAGATGAAGTTGAATTTGACCTTAGATGCACCCTGAGAGATCATCTGAACATTGATTCCATTAGTTCTAAGAACTCGGAAACCCTGTTTGTTATTCATTTAGTCACTATTAATTACAAAAGTAACTAATAAAATAAACCAAAAGCCATACAAAGGAGAGATTACAAACCTTCTCTAATATGAAGGATGATGATCTCTGAAAATTTCCAATGAGAGAGATAATTGATCTGCGTTGAAGCAGATTTACAGTAGCAATCTTCTCCAGTTCCTCTACCACATGATTAATCTCCTGTCACATCACCAATAATTACACAAAATAAAAGATGAGTCCTCTTGGTTTGATATTTTTGCTATGCTCCAAGAACAAGAAAATACTTCTCTCATCTAAAACCCATATAAGCTTACCTGTTGAATTAACTCTTTGCTGCAGAACTTTGAAGGATCTAATGTCAAGGAAACGCTAACTTCGCTGGTTGCAACAACATCCACAGATATGCCCATCTTTTCAAAAGTGGAGAGCACCTGACAAGAAAGAAAGTGAAAGTTTCAAAACGTGAGCTGCAAGGTAGGGAACATTGAAAAACATTGCCATCAGTATTACCTTGGAAAGGAAACCATATTGACCAAGCATACGGTTGCTAGTGATGTCCAACATGGTAACATTACGTTTCAGAACGATGCTGGTCAGTACAGCCTAAGAAGAAGGTAACAAGGAAAGAGGTGGTCATGATGTATGCATGTGATATAAATAAAACTAGATCTTGACCCGCGCACCGACGCGGGTTTAACTTAATTTGAGAAAATGTAATAAATTCAGAACTCATCGATTATTACTGTGTTTAAGATATTGTGATCCACGTTGTATGTGAACTATCATATTGAATATAATAGGACTGGGTTGTGATTTTCGGTTCAGCTTTTATTAGGTTCTTTACGTTCTTAGTTTTTTTAGTTCTAGAAACA